GAAGACACTCTTCAACGATATTCAAAAAGTACAGTATAATCGAGGTACATTGCTATTGACAATTCTGCATTCTTATATATCATTTACTTTCTTGTATCCAACATGCATCCAATCCAGCATGCATTTCAAAACAAAACTAATGTAGTCTAATCAAAAGGCAATTGACTTGAGCAAAGTCTGAGAAGTAATAAATACTTGTGATATACATTTATAAATCTACTCGTAAAAGTTTTGTGATTTCCAATGGAAATAGCTTCTGTGTAAATGCACTCTATGTTCCGTGATTGATGCAAAAGTCTTTTGCCCTACTGTAATATCATTATTAGGATCTCATATAACTTTCACTGAAACCTACTGCATTAAAATGACAAAGTTATGTTCAACTTTGCTAACATAAAAGAAGATATCACATTTAAGAAAAGAATCTCCCTTCCCTTGATTAAAGGATGACAAGTAGAGAATAGGATATTTTGAATTCGTATCAGGATGGCAGCTTAAAATGTACAAAATTCATAGACGAGTTGAAGTAGAAACAGATGAAATAACTTGCTTAAAAATGACATGTCTTTTTAAAAACTGGGAGGATATGAATGAGGTTGTTCCTTGTACTGTCTCAAAAGAATATTAAATGTTTTTGGGCATGTCGACATAACTGTATTTGTTAATAAGGTAAGAATAAAGTGACTGTTTCACATTAAAGCAGCTGCAAAGCTACAAAAAAAAAAAGTCATCTGAAATTTATGTATTAAACTAGAGCAGAGTTATACTCCCCTTGATTTTCTAGATCTAGAAACACTGGGTGCTAATGCATGACCAGTGTGGTTCTGGAATGTCCTGTTCTTTGCTACATCACCTGATGAAACATCAACTTAGATCTTTCAGGTACTACAAAATACAATTTGAAGACTACAGAAAAAGTTCATTTCTCCATATATAGATTAACAAGTTCTATTAAGTATAAAATATCAATAAGTAGTAAATGTGGTAGCAATCTAATATCTAGTATCTCATAATTTAGTGAAAATGTTAATTTGTATTGGTAGCAAATTACAATGTGTTCCAGACATCCATGCATTTATTTAAAGTAAGGAAGGTACCAAGTGTTATTGTACTGAATAGATGCATCATTAAATACTTCAACAAGAACGTCCAAATACCTCAAGTGAATCCTTCAGAGACTTATCAGTGAATATCATTATTAGACATAAGGGACATTTAATATATTGCTTAACTAACCTTAGGAGGCAAAGTTAAAATGATAAGAATGTTGAAATTATTAAATGGAACTTCATTATAAGTCTTCTAATCCAAACAGAGAAGGTGATTTATAGAATGATAGGTATAGTTGGTGGATCACAGAATGGATTCCCTTTTGTATGATAACAAAATGTAAGAAAAGGTTTGCTTTTCTTGATTCTTTTCTCTAAAACAGACACTCTGGCATTTAGGAGATAGAAATGTATCATTTGACCTTTAAACTTCTATTTCATTAGTGTAACCACAAGCAACAGAGTCACTGATTGACACATTTGCACTTTCAGGCCTTTAGCACTTAAAGTTATTTGATAACTGTTATGACACTATTTGCTTTTTATGAGACACTTGGAGGAATATGTTACATTAAAAATAAAGTATAACATGTAAAGCTTAATAAACAATATCACATAATTCAGTAAAGTGTACTCGAGTACTAGATTTGTGTACTTTGATGTGAAGGCGTGTTTGCATGAGGGAAGATTTTGTTTTGTTTGTTTTGTTTTCTAATGAATTAGATAATTACACCAAATACAATTCCAAGTATTCAAAGTGAAAACATAAACTATAACTCTGTGACATTACTTTTGATGAAAAATATCTCACCTGACTTACACTCAAATAGTCCTCAAGCTCTTCTGTACTGGTCTATGAACAGAGTAAATACCAGTTGCAGGAAAAATAACTGATGCAATTTAAATTTTTTTAAGAGAGAGAGGGGTTCTTGTAACTATATATGTTAAAAGTGTTTAAAACCTATGGTCAATGTAAAAGGATAAAAAAAAAAAAATGGAATCATTCCCTAGAGGATTCTAGAATTACTGTAAACTAATTACTTTGAGTAATGCGGATCAGATTTGTTTCATATGACAAAAAAAAGAGAAAGATTCTGTTTATTTCTTAAGAAAACTGTAATTGGTAAGAAACATTATTCAAAAGAAACAGAGATACTGTTCTCTTTAAAAAGTTTAAAAGTCAAAAGTTCTCTAAACTAAGATATGACAAAATTCAGGATACAGTGTATAAATGGATGAGGTAGGTGAACACAGGTAAACAAGGACTGCACCAAACCAACAAAATTGGAAAGATATTGCTGCCGCTAGTTACAGAAGCTTCACTATTGGCAGCAGTGAGTGAACTAAACATAGGTCTCCTAGAAGCAGACCCTGAGTTCAGCTATTTTAATGAGCCATAGTATTCACTAGATTATTCTTTATAAACAAAACACCCAAGATATACCATCAAGTGACAAGCAGTCTATCAAATCCTTTAGACTGAAAATGTTAATGCTCATTACAAACAGGCAATATGTTACTACAATCATATAGATTGCAGTTCCCATGATATGTGTTTGCAGGCTCTAAAGACAGCACTTCATCCTTACCACTGTTGTTTAAACTTCCAAAACAAACTTAATATAAAGAATATCACCAAGGGTTTAATTTATATCCTCAGTGTGACCAAAAGTTCATCTCTTTTACCAGTAATGAAAGGTATTTTACTAAGTGACAACAAGCTGTTACTTTTGTACACATCCAGTGGCATTGTTTACAGTAGAGATATACACTCTAAACTAGTGTCTATTAGAAACTGTAATAGTATTCTGCATGAATTTGGACTCATAAGCATGTTTAAGAAGGTATAAATCATTTACCACACCCAGATCCAAGATCATCAAATTTATAATATATTGCATGTTTCAAATAAAACATAGCCCTCTCTGTTTCACCTTAAACGTGCCACATACACTGGTTTTCTGCAATCTATACTTATAAGCCAACTACCACCCAGTGGAGAGAAAGGATATCTTTCAGGGAGATTTCAGGATCTATGTCAGGTGGGGGTGTCACAGGCAGATGGGAGGGTGATGGGAAATGAAGGAATAAGGGTGTTTAGCCTTGTTTAGATCTAAGCACTGCTGATCATCAATTTATATTTTCACAGTAGAAAAAACGTTACCAGACTCTTAGAGAAATGTTGTTTATAGATATAATTGGGCTATGGATGTTCATTAGTGACAAAACATTTCAATGCCCAAGCTCGGGGAAAAGAAGGGAAGAAGGAAGAGTGAGAAAAAGCAGCAAGACTTAAAATGCAAAAAGGGAGGAAAAGGGAGAGATGAGGGGATAGAGAATAGCAGAGAGAGGGAGAGACTGTGTGTATACATGTGTGAGTGACAATGTGTGGAACAGTGAAGGAGCGAGCGGTGCCTTTTTAGAGAGTAAAAGAGAATCTGAATGTGAAAGTGGGTTGTTAGGGAGAGTATGGAAGTGCCAGCATGTATGAGAATGTGAAACAGAGAATATGTGAGGGAGTGTGGTTATGAAAAAGAGATTTGTGAGGGTGAGAAAATGGAACTGTAAGGGGTTAGAGGGAGCACACATGTGTGTGTGACAGGGATGGGAAACAATATGGGGAAAGAGACGGGAAATGTGAGTCAAAAGAGAGACAGACAGAAGTCAAGCTCGCAAAAGAGGGATATTAATGAGAAAGAAAAACGAAGGATGGAGAAAGGTAAAGAATGGAGGAAAGTATATTAAAGGATAAAAAATCAGAGTGGTGGAGATGAAAAAGGAAACATGAGGTGAAAAAAGAATGGGAGGAAAAACAGAAAAGCAATAAAAAGAGGTAATGGATGGAAATGAGTAAGAAGGAGGGGAATTGGAAAAAAAATAAAAACAAAACGAAGGAAGGAAAAAGGGGGGGCGGGGGGACAAAGCGATAAGAGGCAAGAAAGAAAACTGAAAAGGGAGAAATTGAGCCTAAGTGTCCAAGAGAGGGAAAATACATGGGAGCAGGGAGCCAGCAGTTGGAAAAAGTCGCTTAGGTTACAGCAAAATAGAAACAAACCTGATAAACTTGTCAGACTCTCCAAGGGTACCCCAGGACAGTAAAACAGAGACCTTGTGAACTGAGTTTCCAAGTGGCACCGGCCCCTCCTAAACCTCCCACTTCACTCATCTCAGGGCTACTTGGCGTTCCGGCAAAGTGCTTAAGCATCACCAGTTCTGTTTGCCACCTGCCCGGGAGTAAAGGGTCCAGGGCTCCAGGCAGAATCAGCACCCGGACTTCCTGAAATGCGGTCTTTTGATAGTGATCACCACCACGAGCCTCTTGACTTGGTCTAAAAAGACCGCAAGAAAGGTGGAGAGACAGACAGACGGACTGAGACAAGTACGAAAAGCACGACGTTCCTCCTACCTAAGCACCGCCGTGTCCCCTTTTCTGACCATCATGTTGTCCACAGCCGCCCAGGGGAAGTCCACACTCGTTCCAGCCGGGAGGCAGGAGGGTAGCAGGCAGCACAGGCTGAGGAGCACCGCCGCCAGCCACTGGTTCGAGCAACAAGCGCCCTGCACCAACAGCATCATGTCCATCCCTGCTAGGGCTGCTCACTCTCCAGCAGCTTTCAGCTCGCACTCCCCCACCCCCTGGTGCTGGCGAGTCTTCCCAGGAACCAGGCGGCGCGCCACAGGATTTTTTTTTTCCCCCTCTTCTTTTTTTCCCCCCCCTTTCCTCTTCTTCCTTTTTTAATTATTTTTAATTTGGTGGGTGGGTGGGTTTCTTTTCTATCTCCCCCCCCACCTAGTTGTTGGATGTTGTTTCTCTCTTTCTTGCCTCCCCTCCTCCTCTTTGCTTTCCCTCCCTCCCTCCCCTCCCACCCCCTAGCACCACTCTACACCTCCTCTCGGTTGCTTTTGGCCGAGTCCGGAGTGTGTCTAATTCTCCGGCGGCTCGCGCACTATCTAGCGAGGAGTGGAGCGCGCCGGCGAGTGAGGGAGGAGGCGCGGCGACGGCGGAGGCAGGGCGATCGGCGGCGGAGGCTGCAATCGCGGCAGCAACAGCAGCCGAAGCAGCGCGGAGCGCAGCGGCGGCCGGCGGCCCCCGGGCTCGCGCGCGTTGCCAAGCGGCCGTTTCCTTAGCAACCCCGCCCGGGGACTGAGGATGCAGCAGGGAGGGGGAAATGAAGTGGCGGGGGGGGGGGGGCAGAGGAGGCAGAAAGAAAACAAAAAAAAAAAATCGGGAAGAGATATATTATTATACAAACTGAGAGAAAAAAAGAGAGAGAGAGAGACATCGGAGACAGAAGGCTTCCCTCCCTTCCTGTCGTACGCACTAGACTGATGCTTTGCTAGAAAAGTCTCCGCGTCGGGGCTGAGGTGAAGAGAGCAGAGCGGTGCTTTGCTTTCCCTCTCCGGTGTGTTTTACCTCTTGAGGCACCGTAACTTTTAAGTCCTCCAAGTTGTGGTAGGCGCCATCATGACGCCAGGGACTGCGAGGTTTTGTTGTTTTTCTTTTTTTTCCCCCCTTCTTGCCCGAGCGACCGCCCTATAGACTCTTTACCTCTTTTCAGAAATAGGTAGGGACGGTGGCGGGGGATACTGTTTTTTTTTTTTTTTTTTTTTTGAGGGGACAGGAGGGTGGGGGTCCTTGCAAAGCCTAGGGTAGAGCAGCTGGCGTGTCTATTGGGGCAGTCGCTAAGGACTGGAAGGCGGTCCCCCTCCACCCCCGACCCCATGCACGTTGACACTAAATTGTGTGTGTGTGCGTGTGCGTGTGCGAGGTATGGTCAGAGCGGAGAGTGCGCGGATCTGTGTGTGTAGTAAGCGCGTTCCTGTAATGCGCGCGAATCGTGCACAAGGGGCCTGTGCGCGTGCGGCACGCAGGCGCGCTGGGAGGGACAGGGTGGGTCTTGACGGGCTGGAGTCGGGAAGAGACTGCAATCAAGTATTTTAATTGTGTACAGCCAGGCAGTCCTGTTATGTAAGAGGGAGCTTAACCCATTTGAGCCTATCAGGCGGAATGATCAGCGCATTCGAATCTAGGTAGGGCAAAGTTACGGGGTTTAACGAGTCACAGGTTTATATCATTTAACAGCCTCTAAGCGGGGTTGGACAGGCTTCCGACTCCGGCGGGCAGAGCAGTTACCCTCTCTTCCTCCGCCGCCGCATCCCCTTAGCGGCTTGCCCCGCCGCTGCGAGCCGCTGTCCAGGACCGAGGCACATTGGGGGTGCTGGGCATGGGGCCACCCCCTACCCTGTTTTACTTCTTCCCTTCTTGAACTCCTGTCCAGGCTGGCGATCCTTTAGCTATTCTGGGCCATTTGCAGATCAATGCGAGAACCGAGGCTAGAGTCAATAGCAGTTACGCCAATCAATCTTGTTCAGAGAGGAGTTTGGGAAGCAGGACAGGGAAGTGAAAAAGAGAAGCAAAGTAATTAAAAAATATGGTTACCCCTCCCCTTCCTCCAGCCCTATCCCCCGCTGTAAGCAGTCTTTGAAGATTTTCTTCGCCTGGAAATAAACACAGCAAAAACCCCACACATCCCTAACTCGTTTTCCATAATGCTAGCAGGGTCCTCTGGCAAAGCGCACAGAAGCAATAATCTCTGCAGGGGTCAGCATCCGGCTGCCTCCCCAGACTGAGCTCTTTACGAGGCAGGCAGGGAGTCGTTTTGCTTGGCGGTAGCGGTGCTCGCGGTGATTTTTATCGCAATGCATGAGGATATATGGGGAAAGGGAAGGATTCCCATCACCTGTGACCACCCAGACTGACTGATCGAAGAGCCTCTAGCCAGCATCACCTCCGTGCTGAAGTGACACTCCAAAGCCCCCGGAGACGCTTGTCGCGGGAGTTACTGATGTTATTAGTATTCAAGCTTAACTCTCAAATCCGTCTCGGAAATTGAGAGTGCAACAGTATTCAACCGTATTTTGAAACATCAATAAATGTTAGTCATTTGCGGATGAATGAAAACATTTTCTTTACCGTCTGGTATGCTAGGGAAATAATCGTCAAATGACAGACTCTTGCTAATATTGATGCCAAATACCTAGGTAACACTGTCATCTTGTTAACTGCGTTTTTCTCTCCCGCATGGTACACTGATAGATAAAACCTGAAATTATCTAGGGCAAACCGAGGGTTAGAAGAATCGGCATGTCGTATATAGGAGCAAAACTTCGCAATATTATTTAGTATTTTCATAGAAAATATCTGGATTCCACAGAAGAGAAGCAGAAGGCACGGCTGCTTCCAGCATTGTGACTCAGTTTCGTGTTATTTTATGCAGGGATGGGGGTGCCAGCTTTTCTAGTACAAGCTTTGAAAAGCATCCTTTTGTAACCGCTGTTTCCCAGAGATCTGACATCTTCGGGGCGGGGGTGGCAGGGAGGAGAAGGGGGTATCTGTGACCAGAGATGGAGCTATGCAGCAGTTTTAATATGTACAACAACCGTTCAGGGTTGTGAAAGGAAACTGGGACCACTTCTGTTTAAAGGCAAAGAGTTTATTTTCTTTATTTCTAGTTTTTAGCTCAACTTCCAGTCACTGATCACAAAGCACTTAAATCTCACAAAACCCATCCAAGGGAAACAGTAACCCGAGCCTAGTTTATAGATTCATGGACTGCTGGAAAGCTTATTTACATGTGCATCACTATTATTTAAAGTGAGTGCAAGAATACTGAGTGGGCAACCTTATTCCTGCGTGTACTTTTGCTGTCCTTTTGACCAGGGAGGAAAATTATTTTAAAAGCACTTATTACTTTATTTTCTCCTCAACCTTTCTATGGACGTATATCTGAGAGGATTTTACAGGGTTTCTAGTATTTGCTTTTGAGGTCCTAGATTTCTTTCAAGCAGAGACTTAAATCCTATTAAGTCTTAGCTCCTGAGAGAAAACCAGAACAAAAACAAACAACAACAAATGACAGAAAAAAAAAAAAAAAACACCTCTAAGTTCAGTTAGCACACAGTTATTTAGCAGATTTTTTTTTTTAAGTATCAGAATAGATAACAGCATTGTTGAAACATTTTAGATGGTGAGGGTTGGAGTGGGTGTAGTAGGATATTCATTTGGTAAGAGTTTTTAGGAATTGACATTGGCCTGAATTCCTACTATTTCCTGTTGAATCAGGTACCCTTACTTTACTTTCGAAGCTCGACTTCTAATATTTGAAGAAACTCCATAACCAATATGGAAGGAGGAAGGTGGAGCCTGACTTTGCTAATTAATTATGCCTTTAACTGGACCGATTTACACCCCTGTTTTTCATGTCCTCTGAATTCAGGTATGTTGGAAGTGTAATGTAATAAGAAAGCTTCTTATGCTTCTTTAGTTCAATAAGCTTGATTTTTAATTGACAGTGTAAACGAAATTGTTATTTTGAAAAAAAAAATATATATATATAAATTCACATTTGTTTTCTGATAGTGAGTAAACACAGATACATTTTTCATTCTATTACTTGTAGGCATGAGAAATTTTAGGTAAGACAGGTTCCAGGAGCTAATAAGAGCTAATGAGAGCACTTTGTAATTCCTGAAAGAGTGGGTCAGAAAGCCCTTTTAAACAGGACATATGAATAATAGCTCTCTAATTTGGGTCATAATTGAGTCTCTATTTGAATTAAGCTGGTTTAAGTTTGGAGTACCTTGCCAACTTAAGTTGGCTTGTGGTGGTTTGCAACTTGGTATGAGAAACTACAAACCCTGGGAAATTTTTCATGTCGGGGGCTGGGGAAGAGGAATATTACTTTATAGAAAGTTTTCTCAACCTAGGCGCTTTTTTTTTTTTTCCTTAATTGAAGTATAGTTGATTTGCATTACTGTGTTAATTTCAGATGTGCAACAGTGATGTAACCTAGACACTTTTAATATGTTGGACCAGGTAATTCTTTGTTGTAAAGGCTGCCCTAGCATTGGAAATTGTTTAGCAGCAACCCAGGCCTCTACTCACTAGATGCCAATAGCACCAGTAGATGCCAGTAATTCTGATAACTAAAATTTCTTCAGAGGTTGCTAAATGCTTTGTGGACCAGGGTAGAGGGGTGTGGTAAAAAATACCCCAGGTTGAGAAACACTTTGTTATCGGTTACATTTCTAAAAATATATACCATCTGGTGCTTTTCAAGTAAAATAATAAAGCAGATTGCAGTCAAAACAAAAGTGTTTTATTTGAATTCTATACTACAAAATAGATCTTCCTCATCATCAATTCAGTCTCTGCATTTACCTGCCAAATGACTGAGTAGCCCAAATTAGTGGGGGTATAATTAATTTAATGGCTGACTGTAAATATCTTTCCATGATGTCTCCATTAGAATACTTTTGTTTGTCAGAGTTGAATGGATATTTCTTACTTTTAAAAGAAACTGACATTTCGTGGTTGTTTAAATAAAAATATAAATCAATGGTGAGCTTCTTTTGGTCAAGAACTAACTTAAATCTTTATGTTGTTTACATAATGACAGCTACAGGGTATGCATTCAGGAAAAGACTATTAAATAAAAGAGAGGAAAAACAAAAGTAATTTCCCTTTTGAATAACTCTATGTAAAAACCTTATATTCCTTCACTTACCTTTTTTTCTTTTCTCATCTTATCTATTAAATACCGCCGGCCTTGATGGTAAACAAAGAAGTAAGAACTGTGGGCTGAAGGGATGTTTCAGGGGTCCTTTCAAAGCTCTTCAAACCTTTCCTGTAGAAAGGCTCTGAAAATTTTACCTAAGTTCTGAAGCCAGAATGAGAAGTCTGAGGATATATGTGAGTGAAAATTAACTTTAAAGTACTGAAATTTTTATTCTTTTCACTTGTAGTGAGTACATATTAACTACATATCCTCATATATTTGCCTGGGTTCTGGAGAAAGTAATAAATATTTCTATCATTATTTACTTAAGACTTTTCCTCACCTACTTCCAGAAGGACTTTAGGAACCTCAAGTACATCTATTTAAAAATAAATGTTAAATTTAATATTTTCTATTTGACTATTAGAAATGTAAAAATCTTATACTCTGAAGCTAGCATTACATTTTATTATTTTATATTATCTCATTTTGTTTCCTAAAAGTTTCTGATTTTAATTTCAGAGATTTACATCTTGTATACATTTAACCCTTCAACAACAAGGGTTTGAACTGTGCAGGTACACTTTTATGCAGATTTTTCAATAAATACTATAGTACCACCCTGTAGTATAGTGACTGAGTCCCTGTGGTGTGGAACCTCAGAAATGAAGGACTGATTGTAAAACTATATATGGATTTTCCCCAACTCATGTATCAGTGCTCTTTACCCTTCACATTATTCAAGGGTAAACTGTATATACTTTTCAAGACTTTACTAGAGCAGTCATAGGATTACAAAAAATTTAAAGGAAAATATAGATTTTCCATAAATACCCTGCCCCCAAACATGGGTAGCCTCCCCCAGTACTTACATCACTCACTTGAATGGCACATATGTCTTTTGGCAAGGATAAACCTACATTGGCACATTAGACTAACCCAAAGTTCATAGTCTGCCATAGGGCTCACTCTTGGTATTGTACATTTTATGAGTTTAGACAAATATATAATGATATGTAGTTATCATTTTAAATATCATATGGTAAAAATCCTCTGTGCCCTGACTATTCAGTTCTCCCCTGACAACTTCCAATTTTTTTGTAATTGTTTCCATAGTTTTGCCTTGCCCAGAGTGTCATATCCATGTAATTATACAGAATGGAGCCTTTTTTGAGATGGTCTTCTTTTACCTAGTAACATGTGTTTAAGATTTCTCCATGTTTTGTTATGGCTTAATTGCTCATTTAATATTAGTGCTGAATAATATTCCATTATCTGGATATACATAGTCTATTTATTCTCCTACTAGGGAACATCTTGGTGTTTTTAAGTTTAGGTACTTTAAATAAAGCTGCTATAAACATCCATATTCAACTTTTTGTTTGGATATGTTTTCGGTTCCTTTGGGTAAATACCAAGCTGCATGATTTCTGAATCATACAGTAAGAATATATTTGCTTTTGTAAGAAAATCCCCAAATTTCTTCCAAAGTGACTGTACCATTGTGTATACATTCCCACTGGTAAATGAACAAGAGGTTTTGCTGCCAAATATCCTCACAAGCATTTAGTATTGTCAGTGTTCCAGACTTTGGCCACTCTAGTAGGTGTGTGGCGGTATCTCATTGTTGCTTTAATCTACATTTCTCTGGTGATATATGATGTGCTGTACCTTTTCATTTGCCATCCGTTTGTCTTCTTTGATGAGGTGTCTGTTAATGTCTTTGGCTCATTTTTATCAGGTTTTAGTTGTTATTGTTGAGTTTTGAAAGTTCTTTGTATGTTTTGGATAATAGTGCTTTAACAGATATGTCTTTTGCAAATATCTTATCCCAGTCTGTGGCTTGTCTTCTCATTGTCTTCACATTGTCTTTCACAGACTAGACATTTTTAGTTTTATTGAAGTCCAGCTTATCAGTTATTTCTGTTGTGAATTGTGTGTTTTTTGCTGGGGCTAAAAAGACATTGCCGTGCCAAAGCCTTTGACTGTGTGGATCACAATAAACTGTGGAAAATTCTGAAAGAGATGGGCATACCAGACCACCTGAACCTGCCTCTTGAGAAACGTGTATGCAGGTCAGGAAGCAACAGTTAGAACTGGACATGGACCAACAGACTGTTTCCAAATAGGATAAGGAGTACATCAAGGTTATATATTGTCACTCTGCTTATTTACCTTCTATGCAGAGTACATCATGAGAAACGCTGGGCTGGAGGAAACACAAGCTGGAATCAAGATTGCCAGGAGAAATATCAATAATGTCAGATATACAGATAACACCACCCTTATGGCAGAAAGTGAAGAAGAATTAAAGAGCCTCTTGATGAAAGTGAAAGAGGAGAGTGAAAAAGTTGGCTTAAAGCTCAACATTCAGAAAACTAAGATCATGGCATCTGGTCCCATCACTTCATGGCAGATAGATGGGGAAACAGTGGCTGACTTTATTTTTCTGGGCTCCAAAATCACTGCAGATGGTGATTGCAGCCATGGAATTAAAAGACACTTCCTCCTTGGAAGGAAAGTTACGACCAACCTAGACAGCACATTAAAAAGCAG